ACAAACTCCCTATAGGAGCTTTAAAAACCCTCTTTGGGCGTGTCGTGTGTGTGTGTGTGTGTGTGTGTGTGTGTGTGTGTGTGTGTGTGTGTGTGTGTGCGTGCGTGCGTGTGTGTGTGTGTGTGTGTGTGTGTGTGTGTGTGTGTGTGTGTGTGTGTGTGTGTGTGTGTGTGTGTGTACGGGCATATGTTTGCACGTCGGTGTAAAACACATGTGGTTTGTGTGGCTAACCGTGTAAGCATCTGTCAACAGGCAACGAAATTATAAGTGCAGCGAAGAATAGCGGTTGGTATTTACTGGGAACATTTCAATATATTTCGCACCGTTAAACCACGCTGCACATCGGTCCGATTCCTCAACGAAACGTCGTGAACGCCGCGCTTCAAAGGGCCGAGTAACAAAAAACTTCGAAGAATAAATTAATGGTAGCAAAAGTAAGCTGTTACGATTGTCAGCGGCTGCTCCTGGAATTTCACCATCAGAAACTTCGAAGTGGTCTGAAGTAGGCTTCGCTCGACTACGGCAGGCTGGCCGGCAACCGGTCTGAGAGTTGCGCCGGCGACGCACTCGCCCCGTCTCCGCCGATAGTGGCTTCTCGGAGTGTCACCGGTATTTCACCGGCTGTAACATCTAAGTGGTAAGAAGGCCTCACTATGCCGTCGGTATTAAGCCGCCATCGTATTGAACTCGCACTGCGCGCCGGCCACCGCGGCAAGCGCTACGAGCTAGCACCGACCACCGGCGATGCAAAGAATGTGTTTCACAAAAAATGAAGGCTGCTGGGATGTATAACAGTCATCTGCGCCTTGCGACCGCAGCTGTCAATGACTAACTACAAGGCGAGCGCCGAACGAGGCGGAGTACGATCGTCAGCGATTGCACCGTAAAACTTCGAAGCGGTTCGAAGTAGGCTTCGCTCGACTACGGCAGGCTGGCCGGCAACCGGTCTGAGAGTTGCGCCGGCGACGCGCTCGCCCCGTCTCCGCCGATAGTGGCTTCTCGGAGTGTCACCGGTATTTCACCGGCTGCAACATCTAAGCGGTAAGAAGGCCTCGCTATGGCGTCGGTATCAAGCCGGCATCGTATCGAGCTCGCACTGCGCACCGGCCGCCGTGGCGAGCTCTGCGAGCTATACATGCAATGCATGCGAGCAACGGGTACAGCGACTGCGAACCGTCTCATTCGTTTAAGCCTATCGCTTCGTAGCTTAAACTGCGTGTATAACGGACACCTATTTCTGTGCATGGGAAAAACGAGACGTAAACTGCACATCAGCAAGCGTTTTGTGATCGCCAGCTGTCATTCATCGAAGCACCGTGCCGTACTCGTGAGTCAGGCCTAGTCGTCGAACGCGGTAGCGGCGGTCTACCTCGGTTCATCGCTGGAGCTGCTAAATCTGCGTCGTTAATGTGTTTATTCAAGGCCACGCGCACTTTGTGTATAATTCCGTGCATTTAGGGGTCCTAAAACAGTACTGCTAATGCAAATTCAGCCCGTACGACAGAGCGTCAACTGATGAAACTTTTTCGCTATAGTAAAAAAATAATAAATATTAGGCAGGCTTAGGATAAAAGGCATGTGTGTTGAAGTGCTTACATCAGACCACCGCAAGTTCATACTTATGCCGTGCGTATTTATTGCCTAATTATTAGCGAAAAAAAACTTTCACCAGGGCTACATGGGAGGCAAAAATGTGGTGCATATATATACCCGGTGACTCTATGGTAGGTGTGTACTGCGTGTGGCAAGCTGTGGTGAGTGCGAGTGTTGTGATATAACGTGAACATTGTGATAATGTTTGTGTATTATAATCATTGTTTTGCGCATTAAATGTTATATAATTAAAGTTACGCTTGCGCACGGTACGGCTGCTGACGTAATTTTTTTTTGTCGATGCAAAAAATTTACTCCCATACTGACCCGAAAAAGCTCCCCAATGGATGTAAATAAAAACCCCCCTGGCACCATGCAAAAACCCCCTACTGATGGGGAGTAAATTTTTTACTCCCAACGGAGGTGTTTATAAAACTCCCATCAGGGCGTGCGCTAGAGGACAAGGTCATTTACTCCCATCTCGGCTTATTTCTGTTTACAGTGTAGAGAGGATAGTAGGCACTCCTGCTGAATTTCTTACATACTAACCAAGATAAGCATCAGCATTGATGACTTCAGCATGTTTAGGGGCTTTTTACCTACTCTGCGAATCAACAAGGGCTTTGCTGACTGCTACAGGAAAAACATTACTTACACTTGATTCATCTTTGAGCCCCACAATGTCCTTATAATGCTCGTTTGAACTTGCGTGAATAGAAAAAATGAGAAACGAAGCAGCAGTGAGAAAATATTGAGGAGTTATTCATTCATAGTAAATTATGAAGTGGAAGAGATACATCAGCCAATCTGTCGACGGGAACGAACGACATCACTAGGACATTACAAAGCTGTCACATTGAAGCTGAAACCCACGAGAGCGCCAGCTGTGGAATGTTATCGGTATGAAGACAGAAGCGGGCATGACACGTGCTCTAACAAGTTAACCATAGTTCATTTAAAGCGAAAGCTGGTATGGGATCACAACACAAGTCACGTGCGCACTGTAGTTGTCCGCTGGGGACGCTGGTGTCCGTAACCACTTTCGCACGAAATAGGAAAATGGTTTGTAAATGAAATACTCCAACTACGCAATGGGTTTCAAACCCGGGTACCCTGCGTGTGAGACCAGTGTTCTCTACTGAGCCGTAGTGGTTATTGGAACTCTTTTGAAAAATAGCCCTCGAACGCCTTGATATTGGGAAAGGAATTGCGGTAATATGAGTAATAAAATGTTTTAAAAAGCAAAGGAAAAACCAGGTGTCACATTTTGCGAACTTCGCAATGAGTGAGTTGTCGAATGCTCCAAGTCTTCACAAAAGCTTCTGCTTTTTAAAGAGTGCGTGCCGAAATCACGTCACGTCAGTCACCACTCTGAAGCCAAAAAGAGCGCTAAAAAGAACAAGAAACGCCAAGAAAGAATAACATGCTCGGCTGTGTATTTTCGGAAGCTACTTCAGGGTGCTTATGTACACTGTAAAAATGGGCCGTCATTTTAATAATCATCTCTTCATCATTTTTGACGAGTATTTGGCGTCAAACGCAAAAGACGTGGCTCCATCGTCATTTAGCGAGCGGAGAGAAGAAGGGATAAGAGACAGAAAAAAAGAAAAACTTCCAGTGCGCTCCGGTCGGCTAGCACACTTCATGTGATACCTCACTCTGTATGCGCCCCTTCAAGGTTCCCCGACGCCACCGAGACTGATTCAAAAAAAGAATTTCCTCTAGGTGGTGTTGGGTTCCCTGTCCGCGAGACAGTGGAAAGAAGGCCACCGCTGCTGGGCCAGAGAGAGAGAGAGGGACAGCTGAGGTAGCCGGTGCATGCATTGCCAACCTGTTCCTTTGTGAGGCACCGCGCCGTGTGGCCTATAGGCAGACAGAAATTAGGTACCTTTTTCCTCTTCCTTACAACCACTACCACCACCTTCGTGTTTCTTTGACCTTTGTGCGGGTTTTTTTTTTTTTTTGCGCGCCGGGAAGAAGCGTGCAGCCTGGTGCGCCATTTTGTCTTATTTCTTGCGTGGTGTACTGGAAAAACCAAGGGCCCGTGTAACGCGCGTTCTGCTCGACGCTCCAGCTTAAACCCAGGTGCAGAGTGAGTGTGCTTATATACTTCTTTCGCCTGTTTACATCCTATGGCCGTCCATGCTTTTAACACGTCACCTAGTTTGTGAATAGTGAAAAAGCAAGCGCTAGTTTTCGCGGGTTGCGGAGTTGACTTCCTTCGCGCGTGTGTGCGAATTCTCTACATAATAATAATAATAATAATAATAATAATAATAATAATAATAATAATAATAATAATAATAATAATAATAATAATAATAATAATAATATAGGTTATTTTCATCAATAGTCGAATGTCAATATTCATATTATTATTCATCATGTTATTTTTTATCAATAGTCAATAGTCGAATGCATACTTCCAGTATGCATTCGAGTGACGTGCATGCACCGTTGGAGTTAGCCCGACACCGCCGCCTTTGGAGGTGCTTTCGCGCCGAGTCCGAACCACGTTCAGCAATTTTCAGGTGTCAGTTTGTGTTATAAAAAAAACAGAAAAGCCCTCTTTCAGTGAAAAAAAAAGAAAAAGAAAACTTGAGCGTACGAGGAGCATTAGCGCGTTTTTATTGCACTTATCACGCACTTTCGATCACGATTGACTCTGGTTAACAGTGCAAGGACCGGAATCGATTGGTCGAGTGCGTTATCATCTTATTTACCGCTGAATACATTAGGAGTACCTGATGAAGATGTTCCGTAAGCACTTTTTGTTCTTTTTTCCCATCTGTTCGTTATAATACCTGCGCTATAAGCCCATGATGATCATGACTTTTCTGAGGAACTACATAATGTGGGCAATACAGCCGTAAACTTCTAAAATTATACGTCAACCAGAAATAGTTTTTTTGCCTAGTACTGTAGCTGAAAACGGCGTCACTTCCGCAATTTCTTACTCTGGACCGCTAGCCGGCATAAAAGGCAGACGTTGGTATCTGATTGCGATCGGGAAATTCTACCCTGATTCGCAAATCGCATTCGAAATTGACCTTAGCTTGTAAATTCTCACGGAAGCCTAAATACGTTGCGGAAAAAAGACCAAGATAGGAAACACAGAGTGTATTTTGAGAAACATTGTACCAAGAGCAATCATGCGCGTGGGCTGGCTGAATTATTTAAAAGAAAAGGTACTGCTTACGAAACCAGCAGATATCACTTCGTAAAAATTGTTCAGCTGGAATTAGGTGCAGCATTATCGACATGTGCAAGCACTTAAAACGCAGTGGGTTCAGGACTACTCTAGATGTGTCAAGTGCTTGCAAGTTTGTATGCAAGTTACTGCATGCAACTGTCCAATAGACATCATTCACTGACTGCTAATAGGTTTAATTGTCTTTGATTCACAGGCCTGGTCTGAAGAGTCAACAGACACCTTCTGGTGTGGACGGGTCAACTTCAAGCATATTTGGTCATGGATGTCACTGCAACTTTCGCACTGCCAAGCGACGTATGTACTCATTATCTCACATTTTTTTTTTCATTTAGTCTACTTGTTGTACAATTTCCGGTTACACCTGCATTTCATTTGTAGAGACAGAAAAAATCCTAAATTATGTCTTCTAAACTAACAACTCAAATTTGATGTCCAGGCCAACTCTCCTCATGCACCCAAGCCACAGTTGCTTGCGCTCATTGTGAAGGAGGCCTTTATGGAAGTCGAAATGTCGTCTTCTTTAAAAGACGATAGTCTTTCTTGGGGACCTTCGACGCAAATATTTTGGTCTGTCTGTCTGTCTGTCTGTCTGTCTGTCTGTCTGTCTGTCTGTCTGTCTGTCTGTCTGTCTGTCTGTCTGTCTGTCTGTCTGTCTGTCTGTCTATACAATTGTCTGTTTGTCCACTTTTAACTGTATTGGGTATTGGAAACGGCCAACCTCATGCACCGCGCCCACCAATGTTGGTCAAGATTCAGCGTTCATACTTTTAAAATCGTCAATGAAAAGTAATTTTTGCGCATGTGTGGGGTAATATAACAACACGTATATATTCTGCTTGTGCGTATTTTACTAGAAAAGGCATACATAACTAATTTTAGGGGCCGTAGCGCTTATCACGCTGCGCTGACCATGCAACGCTTGCACGAAAAGGCGAGTGTTTTCAACGCTTTGCTAAGACAAGACGGTGGTAGCACCTACTCATCACTGCGTTTTACACCTTATCACCTCTGAAACGGGCCCGCACACCCGTCTCAGAGCTACGCGCTTTCTTTCCTAAGAAAACTGCCAGATGGCGCTGATGTCTCACGTGTGACGTGACTTGATGCGCTCGTTCGCCTTCCCTGCATGCTCGAGACACTAACGCAGCGTCTCCAGATTACCATTCAACTATTTTATTCCACAGATTATCAAATAAATGTTTTGTTTACTCTCTCCAAACGCAAGACTATCGTGTTTCGATGAGATTTGGAGATTACCATGCAGATACGGGGCAAAGTTTTTCATCTTTTATTCTGTCATGTATTTTCTCCCCTTGAACTGTGTGTAGGCTTGCAATGTGAACTGCATTATCAGCTACTTATGCTAAACAATACAAGGCGGCACTAGAGGCTTGGCTAGAATGTGTGATTTAGATTGGTATGTATGGTTATTACAATATTTCTCCTGAGTCTAACTGACTTTTTGCTTCTGAATTTCCAGAATGCAGGTAAAGAGAGCCTGGAGAGGATGGCAGCAACACCTCATCTAGCTGTCATTGGTGAGTATGTCATATAGGAATTTTTTGCTCAGAACATGACTTGTGTAGCTTCGCTTGTTATTGCAGGCAAAAGTTCTTGGAAAGACAGAGATAGAAAACACGAGAGCGTGGAGTGTTACTGACGCAAACGTTTTGACAAGTAAACTTGTCTTCTTCAGAGCTGCAGCCTTCAAGAATACAAGTACGCTTGTGGAAAGGCCGTCTCAAGCGACAATGCATGATCATGAAGTTTCCAACCGAAATGTTGTTTTATATGGCCTGACTTGTTCTGTAAACTGTGTTATATGCAGATAGTGAGAGGGACTTTAGGCAGTCCCAACCTGCTCTACTAATGTATTACAGGTAGGAAGCACTTAAATTTGAGAATGAGGCTACCTCAAAATGCAAAAGTTCTGTGTTTTTTTTTTTTCATTTATATGAGTAATTAGGTTCACCAGCCACTTTAGGTCTAAAGACCCAGCCAGAAAGATTTCTGTCGATTGCGTTCACCTTTAAATTGTGTCATTCAACGACTGAATGGCTTGTCTCATAACGTTGTCCCTATGCCAGCAAACTTGAACTACATTCTGCATTCATATTTACTTTCCTAATAAGGATGTCTTTTTCAAGAAGCATATGATAGTTTGTCGTTGGTCGACGTTGTTTTCTTTTTATATCTCGTGCAATATCGATTTATAAAGCTATTTCCACTGACAGGTGTTATGTGTTTATGTAAGGGTAACACTTGGGTCATTCTAAGTCAAGGGCTCCAACTATTTCGGTGGACATGTGAAATGCATTGGATCCGTTCTCAGCAAGCGTACCCCGTCAATTTTCGACCATCTCTGATAATGCTAAAAAAAGAATTGTGCAGGTATATTTGCATGCGAGTAGTAGTTATTAAGCCATTATATTTCGCAAAAGAATTTTGTGTTGCCTTCCTAGATGGCACTTCAAACTTTAGGCGCCCAAGTGAAACCGTGTCACACTAAGTATTTTATACAATATTCCTGGTTTGATCAAATTTATTGATACAGTGTTTTCTTTATTATCAAGGTGCTACTCTTTCAAGACTCTGATAGGTTACTCATTTTATCTTCATTTTTTATTTTGACAAACAGTTGCTATATGCTGCATTTTTAGCGTTTTTTCATAAAAAGCACAACTCTTTCGCAATACTGTAATGTATTATTGTTTTCTGTTTTATATGTTCCCCTATTTTCAGCATATGATAAAAACCATTACATTTGCTGCACGAAATTTTGGTCTGCTGTTCTTTGATTTCGTAATGCAGTGTCTGTATTGCACAAGTTAGTGCAGTTGACACATTTCCGGCGTTTCTTTTCTGAAACCCAAGTATGTGATTGGCACAGTTTATGGAGCAGGGTTTCATTTTGTCATTCCATTTTCGGTCCCAAGTACAACGAGCAGATCATCCCGACTAAACGCTGTAGTAAAGGCAGTCAGCGGAGTAGCTCGAAGGGTGCTCAGCCTTCTCGAAATACCTTGAAGAATAAAGGCGCAAGTATCCACAAAAGCTTTCGTTGCATATTTTGTGCAGTGCTACCCATGTCGAATGACAGTGGCATGGTGACGTAGACTACACAGAATACACTTGTTCTCATGAGCCATTATTGACAATACATTGAGAACCTTCTGTCACTTTAGAAAGAAAATGCTACATTGATGGTCTAATATTAAATTTTAAACGACAAAAAAATTTTAAGTGACACTAATTAGTAATTACTTCATCTAAAACTGACAACTTGGACGTTGAAAGGTTGTCAATCGGACCGTTCAGTTGTGTATGAAGTTCACTAAAAAACGTCAATATGATGAAAGAATACCGTCATTCGCAAATGACGACCTTTTATTATTTGGACGTAAATGTTATCAACACGACGTTTGATTGTATTCTTAACAGACGGGAAACACATAAAAACGCTAAAACTATGCCGTCGTTTGAAAATGTTGGCCTGTCCTTATTTTGATGTAGATGTTGTGAATTTGACGGTTAGCTTGTATTTTGAAATAATGGAAAACACATCGAAATTATAAAGTTGGGCCTTCGTTTAAAAATAATTAGCCTGTGGTCATTTTTACAGCCATAGCTTGAAAATCGAGCTGCCGGTATATTCAGCGTCATTCGGACAAGAGATTTTTTTTACAGTGTAGACAAGGTATGCAAACATGTACACAAAAGAGCAGTCATAACACAGCAAATGCACTCTGAAGTATCATAAAGGTGCTGAAAACAAGGTGAAGTGAAGAATTTTTTACGCCCAGGTTCCTCGCCCAGGTTAAAATAACAAACACCATGGCGCGACGCAGTTATTTCGGGGTGGCGGCGGCGTGGTCTCTGTCAACACTTCGCGGCGGTGCGTAGCGTGCGAGGAAAATTGAAGGGAAAACGGGCGGCAGTATGGCGCACACATCTATTACCAGGTAATAATGAAACTTCGAAGAAGGTGACAGGTTACACAACAGTTGGTTGGGCCACATCAGACATGCGGCATTAGGAGCAGGAGTATATTCATGAGAATTCACGCCCCCAGAAGCATCTTAGAGTGTTGTGATGGGGCGATTCTTAAAGTGGCCATAATGCAAACAAATCTACTCAAAGCATTTGACATTGTGCATACAATCTCCTGTACTGGTTAATTAAAGATATATATATATATATATATATATATATATATATATATATATATATATATATATATATATATATATATATATATATATATATATATATATATATATATATATATATATATATATATATATATATATATATATATATATATATACGTTGGTCTCAATTTGGTGATGCACAAAGGTAATTGAATGGCATACAAAAGTAGAGCTACAAATTTAATTGTGTGAAGGCTAACTTTCCCAGCAAATATAGGTCCTTTCCTCTGAGCGCCAGTGGTGTCCGCTAATCTGTTTACATTTTGCTTAATTTTATAACCACTCTGCAAGAACGTCGTTAGCCGCAACGGTATCAGAAGGTGTAGGTGACAGGCATGTGAGGTGCGTGTCTGGGTATACACTGACAATATTGGCTTTTTTATGTTAGTACAGGAAGTGTCAATTCGTTATTGAGAATAGCTGAAACGCTTTTGCGATACAAGTGGGAGTTTGATAAAAGCATGGGCTCTTAGCTCGCCAGTAAGAACATTACGCCGGATTTTCTTTCTTTTGAAATATTCACTGCCGCACGGCATCTAGCCATTATCTCGGAGCACCACTGGACAGATACAAAGACAGCGCAGGGCTTTTGAGAAGACAGAGTAACTGTGGGTAACAGCTGAAACGTGAGTTCGACGAGAATTATGAAATTTTCCTTTATCCCTAATATGTAATGATTTTCTGGCTGCTAAAACCATGTACCTCTTTGGTAAGCACTTAGATGTACCCGAAGAAGCGTTCAGAAATTTCACAAGGTATTTGCTGCGTTCATCTGAACTTAGAAGTGTAGCAGCTTGGGCTAGTTGGCATGGCATGACGATAGTTATAGGGCGAGAGCAAAATGATGACACAGAGACAACAGCCCTTCGTGTCCTTGTTGTTTCTGTGTCGTCGTTTTGCTCTCGCGCTATAACTATCTTTTATCTGAACCTTTTTATGTGAGTTCACACCGAGAACACATTTGTTTAGGCGAGTTATAAAAAAAGGGTCTCATCTGTGTCATCTCTTTCTTAACTATGTAGTAACTCGTTCGATGCTGTTAGAAGACCAGAGAGATGCGTTTTGCTGTTGTTTGTTTCAAGCAAGGTTATTTTATCGCATACGTGATTTTTTTTGTATCGTCAGTGAGAATGGAATGGTACCTTGTGTCGCCGCTCTTCCACGGAGTTTTGTTGTCATATCATTTCTTAAGGGCAGGGTTTTCTACGGATGACTTATCTAACGTGAAAAGAAACTGCCTTAGAAAGGACCTAATTAGCCCCACGTTCCCTGTACCACTCTAAAATGTAATTGTTAATGAAGCACTTGGCCGAGACGTTGCAACACGAGCTGTGTGGATAACCTCTAATGTAACTACATTAGGTTTTGTTCAAACCTTGTGGAGGACAAGTGTACTCGTCGAAACGTCCGCTCGACACAACCCCAGTTCACAGATTTTTATGCAGAAACCTTGTCAGTCAAAACATGGCTACAAGACGGAGAGATGTATGCGCCATGGTGAAATGTATGTTTTCTTTGTAGTAAGCGAGAAACGATTGAACTTGTATTCATTGATTGTAGAAATGCCACATTGTCACGTTCTAAACGAAGGCGCCGTTTATGAAGTGGCACATATCGCGGAGGACTTTAAAGATGCATTTATTACCTTTTGATTAGTGGAGAGAGAGAGAGAGAAAACTTTATTAAAAAGCCAGTCAATTGCTCAGGCATGGCCCGTCGCCCCTAGCTGTCGGCCGGAATCCCTTGGGACTCGGCAGCAGCAAGGGCTTGACTGATAATGTCGCGCTGGACGTTGGGATCTGGGCTGCAGAGCAGGGCCTCCCAGGATTCTAAAGTGTGAGAACCATTGTTCTGACTTCGACATGTCCACACCATGTGGACTAAATTCGCTACCTCATCACAAAATTTACACTGGGACTGGAAAACTGCGGGGTGCCACTTGCTGTAAAGTGCGGGGTTTGGAAAAACCCCAGTCTGTAACTTTCGCCACAAAACCTCGTTTTTCTTACTTAGTGAGTTGTCCGCTCTCAGGTATACTTGCCGATTCAGCCTGTAGTGTGCGACGATTTCATGGTATGTGCGCATATACTCGCTTCTTTGATCGGTAACTTGGGATGTTCCAGGGGTCGACCGGTAGGTGAGACCTCCAGCGACGGAATGAGCCTCCTCGTTCCCTCTAAGTCCTTGGTGAGCTGGAGCCCAGACAAGCAGAACCTGCTCTTTGGGTATTCCTACCATGTTTAATATACGGACGGCAGTCTCCGTCACCCTTCCCGATTCATAATTTTTCACAGCGTTTTTGGAGTCGCTGATGACCACCCTGATCC